TAATTGCCGACCATCTATCTTCACTCCCATTCCCTCCATTCCAGTCGTCACATGATATTCTCGAGGGTGGCATTGAAGAGTTTCGGTGAAATGGTATCACCCTACCAAACCCCTCTCTGGACATGGATGATCACTTCTTTGTAGAATGGTGAGATCCTGGTAGTGAATCTGTAATACTGCTCATGGAGGATCCTGATGTATTGAGTTTGAATACTCTGTTTGGCTAGGGCTTCAATGACCACTTCCGTCTCAACAGAATCAAAGGACTTCTTTAAATCAATGAATGTTAGACAGAGTGGCATCTTGAACTCCCGAGAAACCTCAATGAGCTTGGTTATCATGTGGATATGGTCATTCATGCTGAATCCTTTTTGGAACCTGGCTTGCTCGCATGGTTGTCCTTTATCTAGTGTTCTGCCAATCCTATTCAGGATGACGTGAGTAAACAGTTTGTAGATGACAGACAACAGGAATATTGGGCAATAGTTGCCAATGTAGTGAATGTCTCCCTTCTTGTACAGTAGTACAGTCCTGGTTTTCCATTGGGACAGAACCTTGCATTCAGACAGGTAGCATGTGAAGAGCCGAGCCAGTGTATTGATGAGTACTGACGGCAGGTTCTTCAGGTGTTCGGGTCAGATCTTGTCTGGGCTGGGTGCTATTTGCTTCTTTACCGACAAAATGGCATGTCAGGTTTTGGAAGGGAGAACGTTGGGAATGACATATCCATCCTGTGAAATTTGGTATGTGGGCAGGTGGATGTGGCTATTTTAGAGGTCCAAGTAGATGTTATGGATAATCTTCTCTATTGACCCTCTGGAAGATGTCCATCCATCAGGACATCGGAGGGCAGTCATCTTGTTCTTGTAGTTGGCAAAGGACAGGCAGGCATTGTGAATGCTTTTTCCGGCTTTTCCTGCATCTGCCAGCACTGCTGCTCTTCTCTCTTTGAGGTCTTCCTTTATCGCTTCTCTGCACTGCTTTGCGAGCTCGGACGTTCACTTGCTGGAATAATATTCATGTCTTTATCCATCATTGCCCTAATCCTATTGTGCAGAATATCACTGTTTTGTCACACCCATCTCAGTGCTCCCGAGTCACTCCCATTCTTTTGAACTCCCGAGAAACCTTAACTCTTCTCTGTGTTCTCCTCCTCAGCCAATTAATCATCTTATGCATAGTTTACCTTAAGCAATGTCCTTTCTGTATGGACACAGGATGACAGTTAATATTATGCTTTATAACTTGGGAGTTGATTGACTCCGAATAATATTTACTATAGGGCATCTCCAGGCTCGGCGGACCCAGGGACAGAGCTTCTCTGCTTGCTCCCACCACCACAGCCGTCGCCACACTCCAGGATGCTTTCTGGACCTGCGCGGCAGCTCCGGCCGAGACCCACGCACGACTGAAGACCCACAGAACAAGATAAGCGGAACTCTCTGAGACCTTGGACTCCAGGCTCGGCGGACCCAGGGACAGAGCTTCTCTGCTTGCTCCCACCACCACAGGTGACAAAGGGATTCTAATCAGGAGCCCCACCCTACCCTGCTTTCTTGACTCAGTTGCTCTTAATTCCAAAGGCAGGGTCCCGACGAGGGGCTGAATGGACCCAGGGCAAGCTGTGAGCTACCGTGGCATCGAAATGGGCCAGGCCAAAGCGCCACGACACTCAACTATAAGTTGAGGGCATGATCATGGACAAATGCTGTCATGATCCAAAAGTAAGTAACGACAAGACTAGGACCCTGCTGGGGCTAGGAAGACTAACCTGGCATGAAGGACTGTGGAATATATAGTGAGATGTCCTCAGGAAGAACCAAACTGTAAATTTATGTCCCTTACTGTGCTCATACAGAATGACATTGCTAGAAATATTAGAAGTAGATTTACTACAACTATTTAAGTAGATTACTAGCTGAGGAAGAACACACCCTTGTTGGGATCCCATCCTTGAGCAGATCTCCTAGTAATCTGGAGTAATCTCTTTAGATGAGATTTTATCCTTGAGTTAATCTCCTGGAGGAGTGGTCTTACCTCTCTTTGTTGATTTGTTTATGTTCAACCCACCTTTGTGTCACCGCCTTACATGATTGCTATTTAAACTAAGACTGTAGACTTGAGAGAGAGAGAGATCCAGAGCCAGAACAAGAGAGGCTCAAGCTTGAGAAAGAGAACAGCCGTCCTGATCCAGGCCACACATAGTGGCTCAAGAGCACCAAATGCGGGCAGTGAGACAGAGCCATCCAGAGAGGCCGTGAACACACAACCTTCATCATGCATAGTTTTTACACTGCTGCATTATGTAAATTTTGATTCAAAAAGGGAATATGAGAAGCTAAAATATGGGAATGAGAAACCTTCTCAAATAAAAATATAAAATAGATAATAAAGCCTAAGAAACACCAAGGATAAAAAAAAATGTTCACATCTGGAATATAAAACTTCAGAAATACCAAGGAAACATGAAAAGATCTTGGTTAAACTACTAGTCTGTTAGAATAAAGGCACTGATATGTTAAAAATAAACTATAGAAAGCACACTTAAGCATAGACAAAGGCAGGATTTCTCTGCCTAAGCAACAGCTTATATTCTGGGCTAGATTACTCTGTTGTGTGAGGCTTATCTGTGCACAATAGTGTTTTGTGATATCACTGGGCCCTATGCAACAGATGCCAGGAGTCACCTCCTACAGTGCAATATCTGGAAATATCTTTAGACATTACTATATTGGAGGTCTACCAAAGGTAAAACATCCCTAATTGAGAACCACTGGTCTATTATTTAAATAATCACCATAAATAAATACAAGTACAAATAGCTGTTAAATCAACAGATCAATTTAGTAAAAAACAGAAAAAGTAAAACAAACAAATGCAGGAAATAAGGACCAATAAATATGGCAAAAAACAAGTACTAATATAACAGTAAGTACAACACATGTAAATGTGCTGTTCAAGTATATTAAAAGTCAGAACACAGATAAGAAAAAAGCATATACTAAAAGTCACTTTTTAAACAAAAAAAAATGCAATTGGTAAATAAAAGAAAAAGGCAAAACAAATGAAAATTGAGACTAGCCATCAGAATTAAATTTTAAAAATATATCTAGATTGCATGTGTCCAGACAAGATCTGTTTCCTGGCACCACATGGCCCCCAAGCTCTGTCAGGTGCATCCTGGAGACCCACAAGAACCGCAGGGCCTGAGCAGTACTGCTCCGCAGGCCCTTCCACTGAACACTAGCCTGGATGGTGGAGAGTTGGTAGTGGAGACCCCAGGTCTCCTGAGCATGGTTGGGAGGCCCTTTCACCCACCCCCAGCGTCCCCCCCCCCCCCAACACACACACAGAAAACAGCAGAATTAAGCATCCAGAGATAAGACTCAGAGAAGAGAATTTTTTTCAACCTGGAAAAGTTCGGTTTTTTCCTCCATAAGCACAGTCTTCTCTCTCCTCTTGCTTTTCTCTAGAAATATGTCTTTATACAACTATTTTACTTCACTAAAAACTACCTAGAAAAATTCCTGACATGTGTGAGGCTGCTAGTTCGATTCTACTGAGAACAGTCCATAAGCATTACCAGGCCCACGCTGCTAGGTTGAGTACTGCCAGGGTGGCTCTTTAAAACATGGATTCACAAATCACGACGAATCACGACCATCCTGTTATTCATCGATTGCCTCGAGCAGGCCCCAGTAACGTCTCCTTCATCCTAGCCCTGAGATTATATTCAAGGCTCTTTAGGAGAATGAGACCCATTCTCCTAAAACCAGCTCCCGGAACCGCACGGCCACATTTGAGGCCACGCCACATCTTATTATGACATCTTATTATCTCATTCCTACTTTGGACAAACTGGCAGGCTACCGAATGTAGCCTGACCACATGGCAGAGTCTGGCATACTCCCCGTGGCGTACCCAATATGCCAAATACCAGAACATGGATTAATAATGTTTTAATTTTGTAATGTAAATACTAATGTGAAAACACTTCTATAGATATGCTCATTAATTTATCATTCTAGAGATTAGAATTATTAATTTCAGTCTTTTAGATCTATTAACCCAATTACACAGTAACATTCCCTGCATGTGGGTAAGCCATGGGCTATACTGAATGATTAACCCTCAGTATATAAAACCTATAAACAATTATATTTTACTTGTCAAAATTAAGTAACTTTTACTGCAAGACTATTTCCTGAAAATACTGATTTCGACTGATTCTATCTCTATGTACTCAACTTTGACCAAGTTGTATGATTCTGTTTATTTGCTAACATTTGAGAATCACTCTCCTGGAAACTGCTTTGGTGAGAAGTTTTTTTGTATAATATACAACTAAGACAATTGAGTATATAACTAAAAGCCATAACTAATCTGACTGAAGCCTGGGAATTCTGGTGATTTGTTTCCATTCTGTACCCAAGAAAATAAATCTATAAGTTAAACCAAGATTCAGTGGCAAGCAGTAAATATACCTTTTTTTAAATGATCCTACAGAAAAATCAATGCATGTTTGACTTTTGGAGATAAGGAACCCAAATCTTTAATGCCAACACAGGAGGCCAGTGGAAATGTGTGATTGTAAATCAGTTCAAGTTTTCACTAAAATAACGTAGTCTATTTATACATTCTTTGCCAATCAACAGGAGGATGAGAAAAGCTATTCATCATTCATCTGGTTTATGAACTACTGCATTAATAGGGCAATCAAAAGTGATTTTCTTGTAGATCAATGATATTGCTCTCTTGCCCTGTCACAGGGTTGCTGTGGTTGTGGCAGAAGAACAGCAGTGGTGATTTGGTGACAGTAACACGTCAGTGAGGACCACACATCTCTCCATGTCTAGATACTGCACCCACTCTCTTCATGCCAAAAGAAAAGTCATGTTTGTCTACAGATTATGAAGAAAGATTCACAAATCCAGACAATACTCCAAGACCGTTAGCCTAGAAGACTATGTAGCGGGCATGGCTGGACAACTTTCACTCACCAATGAGGTACATGCCAATCCAGTCTCCAGCATCCACCTCCTCCTTTATATCCCAGTGGATCACCAGGTCCTGCGAGTGTCCTATGGAATAGTAGGAGCTGCTGACCATGAGCGTGGAGCGGCTGTCTGAGGTGACCAGGTCGGTGTCGCTGGTGGAGCGGGGGATGGTCACGGTGCCGTGGGGGCCTGTTCTGAGGGCCATGCTGTGCAGCTGGCCAGGGCTGTAGCTGTGTCGCAGCGGCTCTTTGCAGCGGCGTCGATTCTGTGAGTTTCTCGATGGAGATGCCATGGCAGCCAGGCCTAAAAACCTGTTCTGGTACAGATTCTGTGGGGGTAAACAAGACAATAAGCAGGGACAAGAGATTATGGCATCAAGGTCGCTGTCTTCACAGGGAATAAAGAGGGAGCTGGAAAAATGAGATGTAGTTTACAGGAGTCCAAGGAAATTTTGTAACATGACACCGAACATCTTCCTTGAGACAGACAATATAGCTCTGGGCTTATACAGGAAAAGCAAGAAGGAAACATGAGTCCCCCAAGGACCACCCAGCATCTCCCCCTCTGCTGGAATCTGCCTCTCCCAGTTCCCTGTATCCTTGGTACTGATGCTTCACAATGTGTGTTGGATGGACTGGAAGTAATTCTACCCCCAAAGCGTTATCCATTGAGTTCTCCAACACAAATTCAAATTGATTCCATTTTATCTCTCCTGAAGGTAAAAACTGGTTATCAGCACTGAATATTTTTGTGAAATCCATAAATTTAAATACAACTAGAATTTTTTCTTCCTAATAAGTTAGCCATTTCACCTCCATTTACAACCCTTTGACTTTACAGATTATCTCCAGGGCATCTGAAACTTCTACTGAGGATTTCAGATATTCTAGTATCTTCTTCAAATACCACAGTTTTCTGCTTGTTTGGGTTTTGTTTTATGGTTACACCCAGGGATTCTCAAGGATTACTTCAGGCTCTTCACTCAGAAATTACTCCTGGCAGTGCTCAAGGGACCATATGGGATGTCAGAGATTAAACCCAAGTCAGGTACATGCAAGGCAAGCACCTTACCACTGTATCTCTAGCCTCCAAATACCATAATTTTTTAACCAAACCCAATTTACGGTGACTGTGTCTGCCTTGGAGATACGCTACAGCAAAAATCATTACATCTAATAAGGGAAAAATAAGCATGATTTTTGTTGAAGACAACACTGGCTGAGCTGATACAGAGCACTGACTCAACTGTTTTGAATACAAAGATTATTTATCTATTTTTCAGTTTGGGGACACACCCAGCAGTGTATGGCTTACTCCTGGCTTTTTTGTCAGGTATCATTACTGGTGGCACTCAGGGGACCATATGCAGTACCTGGGATTTAAGCAGGCATCCAAGTGTTTTATCTACTATATTCTTTCTGGTTCTTAAAGAGACTTTTTTTAAAACACAGAAAGAGTAATTATATAGAACTTTAATAAATTCTATATATTTTTAACTACCAAGGGTTATTCTTACATTATTAAAGAATTACTAAAACATAGAATTTAAAACTAAAAATTGTGGGTTCCTTTGATGTAAGCAAGTAGACAGGGAAGGGTCCCAATGGAAATGGAATTCCTTGGATGTAATAAAACTACCTAATCTTAAGGCCACCAGCGCCCACCTTGTGAGTGCAGGAACTAAGGCCTGATAAGACCTGCCTGGCCTGGCACCAGTAACAGACCCAGAGAAGGCTGGGACCTTTCCCCCCACCCGCCCACACCCACCACCCCCTAGAAGTTCCAGCAGGAACAGAAGGCCAGGAAAGGAATTTCAAAGACCATTGACCACTCACAACTCTACCTACTTGGCAACCTCCCTAGCAATGGACTTTTAATGTAGATAGAAGCCCCACATTGGGGCTGGTTGGGAAAACCCTATTAAGAGTTTGAACCAAGAAAGGATGCATATGCTGCCTGAGTCTGTATGCTGCTTGTGATGTGGCCCAGCACATGGGGTACCTGAGCACATGTGTCATCACATCTCCCCTCTTGAGATGTGTACTTTAATGCTTTCATATCTAATGCTGGGATGTGTGGGGGCTCTCTTCACCATTGGAGAGCATGTGTTCTCTCTTGAGTACCCTACTCTCTCACTCACTTTCTCTCCCTCCTTCCCCTTGCTAAACACTTCCAAATAAAATCTGTTTTCCCTTCACTGCCATTTACTCCTGAAATTCTTTTCTGGGAGGCAAGACAAAACCTGGTAACCCTCAGCAAGACCTAGGACATACCGTGCTTTCCTGCAAGGAGCAAATCCTCCCTCCAACCTAAATCTGTGGCTCCCGGAGAAATTGGGTACTGGGAATCAATTCCAATGCCTAGACTACCAATCGGACGTCAGGTGTGACTTGACGGCCACCTGGTGTCCTGGCAGGGCTTTGGCTGATGCTGCTCAGGGGCTCACCACAGGTCTGATCAGTCCTAGTCTTCCAAAATGGCCTCAGGGCGGCTGATTGGGAGAAAGTGACGATCTTCCACTCCCTCCTCACCCTCCTCACATAAGCCACCCCTGGGGGCCACTGGCTTCACCTTCCTTAAAAGTACATGTTATATAATTATTAGCAGTTTGACAAAACAAGACAAAACATTAAGGTCTACAAATATGTTGAATCACGAAGCTTAACTCCCAGGGACTGTAATTTATTACACATATAAATCGTATGCAAGTTATTGACTTTTTGTTCATTATCCCAGAGGACAAACTCTAACACCAGTCTATTCTTAGGTTACATAAATCAATTTAGCTATAATTTAGGCATACACTTTTTCTATTATTTTAAGATTAGGATACTTATAAAAAGCTCACTAACCTGGTCAGGGTTCTCAATGGCCAAGGGGCACACCTATTCATACATTACTTGAATTTCTTATTAGGAAGACCATTGTTGGTAATGGTAAAATTACTATTAACAGAAAGTCAAAATTCATAAAGCATTAAATCATGTTTTGGTAACCTATTTCTTTCCTTTTTTAATGCTTATTATTGCTATATTTTAAAAGTTGATGGGCCACAGAGTTGGCAGGAAATTAATCCTCTCCTTAAGAAGACAGAAAAAAAAACTGAGGCCAGAAAACATATGTAATCCTCCTAGACAACTTGGCTCTCTGGACAGTTTCGGGGGAATCTCAATAACATCCTGACAATATAGCATGACATTTTCCCCATTTTATGTATACTTTATGTATATATAAATATACATCATTAGAATATTAAAAAGTATATAGAATTAAATTCAATAGTCAAGATTATAATTATGAGTTAAATAAGTTCATGATCAAAGTTGGTACAGTAACTTGGCCCCGATCTTGTGAAAAATGCCCAATTTACACAAATATAAAACAGTTGTAGATTCTGTGCCCCTTCTTAGAAAAGCTTAACTGTTCCCAGGAGGAAGAACCCCAAATTTACTTCCTCAAAAAGAATAAAGAGATGCTCCCAAACAACACTAGTCAAATAATTCAGACTCTCTGTTTTGTGTTTCTTTCTGGACAGAGTGTTCTATCCCCAGCACCTAATAATGTCCCCTGGGCCACACCAGGAGTGATTCCAGAGCACAGAGCCAGGAGTAAGCCTGAAGCACAGTCATGTGTGGTTCCCCAAAACAAAACAAAACAAAACAAAACAAGGTGTTCGAAAATTTGGTAGCCTCGTGCGAAAAAAAAAAAAAAAAACCAACCTAAGACCCCTATTCCACACCATACACAAAGGTTCATTTGAAAATAGCCTAAAAGTCTCTATATTCAACTTTTTTCTTTAATTTTTCTTTTTATAAAGTTATTCACAATAGTTTATTACATCAGTATTTCAACACCAATCCCACCATCATTACACCTTCCCACCACCATAATTTCAAATTTTCCCAACAACTACCCTAGGCTGCCCAAATAGCAGGCCCTAAAAAATTTATTTTGCATTGCTTGTTATGAATAATCTGCTAAAAATTATTAAATAAAGGTTCCATAAAAAACATGTGTGAAGCTTGTTGCATTTCACTCTGGAGCCATTAAGCTCTTGTAAAATAAGAGATTACTAACATGTTGTTGCATATTGAGCCTTGTGTGCTAATATTTTTTTTAATCAAAGTTAGTTGCCTTCTACTTTATACCCCATCCAATGTGGTGTACTACCCCTGGAACATAAATAGTGTCGAATATAAAATGTCAGTACAGAAATTCAAAAATTTCAAAAAAGATGATATAGCTGGAGTTAAATCTTTAACTGGATGGTGACTTTGGGGTCCAGAGGCATCTCTGCAGCTTGGTGATCTCTTCTGAGATTTATTTCAGAGTCTGGATCATGGCCGTTTATGAGCTTATATGGAGCAGGAGGCAGTTTGTGGGTGTGACTGCCAGGCTCCTGGAAGAATAGGGAGATGGGGGAGACTGCCCATTCCTGACTTTGTGAGAGCCTGGAGACTTCCATCACAAAACCTGTATACCCAAATTTTTCAACAGATTCACTCAAGGATGAGGCTCATCCCAAGTCTGTGGATATTAGCCGTGAGCATGGTCACAATTGGGTTCGGTGGGTTTTTGGCTGCCAGGACTCTGGGCAGGTGGTGGGCTTACCCATCTCTATATTAGACTTTAATCTGTAAATTACATTGAGGAAAACAGGTAGGCATCTTCTACCAGTTAATGCTATTTGTGAGAAAACAAATGCCAATATAAATAAATGGGATTGCATGAAATTAAGAAGATTTTGCACTGGAAAATGATGACTAAAATAAAAATGCAACTTTCAGACTGGAAGAAAACTATTTCTCATCATACATCTGACAAAGGTTAACTGGGATTACAAAGCACTGTAATACCCAGTGCTCCAGCAATAGAAGTAGCACAGCGGGTAGGGCATTTGCCTTGCACGCAGCTGACCCGGGTTTGATTCCCAGCATTCCATATGGTCCCATGAGCACCGCCAAGGGTAATTCCTGAGTGCAGATCCAGGAGTAACCCCTGTGCATCACTGGGTGTAACCCAAAACACACACACACACACACACACACACACACAAAGAATTGAGCTTCCACAAAACCCCACAGTGCCGTTTCCTGTCATCTACCATAAGGACTCAAAGATGACGTTTTCAATAAGGCATTTCTACTCCTATGCTAATTTCACACCATTAATAATCAACAAGATCTGGACACATCCCAAGAGCCCAAGAATATACAACTAGATAAAGAAATTGGTAAATATACACAAAGGAATAAGGTAAAGGTAAAGGTAAAGGCCCTCCCGTTGATCGTCGATTTGCTCGAGCGGGCCCAGTAACGTCTCCACTGG